CAATAATCATGTTTTATTGACCATTTATATACCCAGTAAAGGACAGTCTTTGATCTTTGACGTGTTTTCTTCTTTTTAAATTTCTATTTTGATTAACGTAATATCTGTCAAATTGGGATTATTCGTAGCTATCAGTTGGTTAACAGATCAGTTTCGTGTTTTTGAGAATGAAAATTTTTGATGTTCTCTGCTAGATAATTTCATTAAAATGGGACATTCTGGGTATAGATTGTGAATTCCTATTTAATAGTAGACTATGTACACTTTTTATAATTTTAAGTGCTATTTGTAGTTATGAAAAGTATGTATAAATTTAAATAAATTAATTTGAAATAAAAGATAAGTAACTTGTCAGCAAATGAAAAAATTGTCATTACTAGTTTTACAAAAAAATATGTTCTTTATAAAATGGAAATTTATAATCAAGCATCAACTTTATAAAATTAAAAAAAAATTAATACACACTTTAGCATCAAATTTGAATTTATTTCGAGCATATTTTTTTAATTCCGTTTTCTTTAGTTTTGATTTTCCCTGTATACTTTTTACAAATTTAATTCTTCATTATCAAATATTTGTTAGTGATGCAGGACCTTTTATCAAAAATAACTTTTTTCATAATACAAATACTAATATTTTCTATATTCTGTCAATATAGTGTATACAAAAAAAAATGTAAACATCAGAAAGAACAGTTTGTTCCGCCAATGAGTCCCAAATACCAAATTACCGCAATTTAAATTCCTTCCCATAATCACTATATAATCAAAATGGAGAATTAATGTCAAACAAAATTTAACTGTCCCTTAAGGTTCACCTTCATTATGATTAAAATGGATGCTTGGACCGTGAAGCGACCACCATCACATATCGCAGTGTTAACCAACCCTAAACTTCGTTTAGAGATTCGCAAAAGTATCCGGGAATTTACCCACATGTTTTAAGGTTAAATGATATTTTCAAATTATATTATATTAAATGATTTTGTCTTCTAAAACTGATTTTCTATCATCGTCAGTTTCATTTTTACAAAATTAAGAAGATATTATAAAGAGTTAAACATAATATAACATACAGAAGTATACAGGGTGATTGACAACTACCTTCAAACCCAATTAATTAATTAATTTATTTATAATACAATACTCTACAGGTCATAAACCCAATTACAGAGCAGGAATTGACAGAATATAATTATTAATAAATCACAATTTTTTACATAAAAAGAACTTGTATTTCGTAATAGGTAACAAATTAACTAAAATAAAAAGTGGGATTTTATATCTGACAAATTGCAACTAAATATATCAAGGTCATTGACAATAGAATTTGTTACTTTACACATGGTATAAAGCGGAGAATTTTCCAGAACATTTGTAAGAGATCTATCTATATAAAAAGTATTCAGGTGTCTCGAAGAAATTCTGGGAATGCAAATATTAAACTTTTCTAATAAGGTTGGGCAGTCAATAATACTTTTAATAATTTTATAAGTTACTACTACACTATAATAATCACGCATTCTTTCGAGACTGAAAAATTTATGCTTTTGTAGTAATTCAGAGTGAGGTGTACCTATTAGAGGATAAATGCCATCAGTTTTCAGGCTTAGCAGTTTTAAAAATCGTCTTTGAATTGCTTCTATTCGATCTGTATAATACTGATAAAAGGGGCTCCACATAACTGAAGGGTATTCTAACTTTGATCTTATAAAAGCATAAAATAGAGTTTTTAAGGTAGAGTTTTCTTTGAAATCACTACTGCTACGTGAAATTAATCCGTACATGCGATAGGAGGAGAATACAATATTATCAATATGCTTATTAAATGATAGTGCAGTGTCGAACGTAACTTCAAGATCAGTAAATGTTTTCGGTCGCTCAAGGGCAACGTTTTCTATTGAATAATTAAAAATTAGGATATTAGTTTTTAAACTGTAGGACATAACTTTACATTTATCCGGGTTTAGTGACAAATTATTTTGATAACACCATTCAACAATCCGTGTTAAGTTTGCTGAAAGGTTCTCGCAATCACCTATCTTCTCTACGAGGCGGTATAGTTTTAGATCATCAGCATACAAAAGGAAATTTACATTTATAACATCTGCAATATCATTAATGAATATAATAAAAAGGAGAGGTCTCAGCAGACCTAGAACCATTAAGCTGGACATAGTGCTTTCGATCCCATAGATAGGATTGAAATAATGAAATTAAAGAAGGAGATAATCCAAAAGCTACAAGTTTGTTGATCAGAATGCCATGATCAAGTCTGTCGAAGGCATTAGAAAAGTATGTGTAAATAACATCAGTTTGGACTCTGTTGTCAATAGATTCAGCAATATATTGGGTAACGGTCAGAAGGTTGGTGACTGTTGAACGATTTTTCATGAAACCATGTTGATTTATTACAACTTACGTAACGACATATAACTCGCTCTAGCAGGATTTCAAAAACCTTTGCAAAGTTGCATATAATAGAGATAGGTCGATAATAGGAAATATCTTGTCTATCTCCTTTCTTGAAAATGGGACTGACCTTTGAGGATTTCCAGATATCTGGTATTGTAGCCGATTTTAAACAAATATTAATTCGTATGGAGAGAGGACGAGCCAGCACAGAAGAACAATCTTTTAAGACAAAAGCTGTAATATCGTCTGATCCGTTGGTCTTTTTTGGCTTAAGTGATCTTAGTGCCTCATATGCTTCCTTTTCACTGTAGCTTGTAATATTTAGAAAGTGATTATTATTTGTCCCAGAATTGGGTTGAAATGGGGAAGAAATAGTATAGGACTGTTTAAAAAGATTTGCAAAACAGTTTAGAATATTAGAAGGCCCCTCCAGCATTTGACCTTCAAAATTCAATACTTGTGATATTTTGGAACTACCTCGTTTATTATTTATAAATGCCCAAAATCTGTTTGGGTTGTTATGTATTTCTTTCTCAGTTTTGCCTAAAAATTTCTTATATGCAACATCAACATCATGCTTTATTTTCACCCGAAGGTGTTTAAAATCCTCAAAGGCCTGTAAATTATTAAGAGTAGTGATTTCCCTATTAGTTGCACCAGAATCCAGATAGTTAGCATAGTCGCTAACATTAAAGTCTCCTACAACGAGAACTGTATTATTATGTAATATATGCAACAATGCCAGGGCTTCAAAAAGTTGTTCAAACTCAGTCAGTGGAGTTTGAAGAGGTATGTAAATATTTAACAAATAAATATATTTATATGAAAAGATTATTTTAACAACTATGATATCAATCAATTTAAGCTGAGGAAAGTTAAAATCAGATAGATTAATTTCTACAGAAACAAAGTCTTCATGTACCCCAATAAGCACACCTCCACCTCTCGTTAAAGAAGTCTGTTCAAAATTACGATCCATCCTGTATATGTTAAAATTATCCGGAAATAATTCTAAATTGTTAAGGTCTCCGTTAACGCAAAAACACGATAGTTGCTTTGAATTACAGAATTTAGAATCTGGCTAGTTTTTGTCTTTAAACCTTGAATATTTTGGTAAAAAATTGATAAGGTGTTCGTATCTTTAACGAGACCTGGTTTTGAATCTACGAGGGGAATATGACAATTTCCCTTCAATTGCTATTCAGAAATTAACATACTATTTTTAATTTTTTTTAAGGTTTCTGCATTCGAAGCGCCTTTATCTTTTTCCCAGACAGCGTGATTAATATCTACATCTTTGTTAGCTAGTTTCATGCAATTAAAGCATTTTTTAATGGAGGATTTACACTGATTTAATTCATGGGCACCCCCGCAAATCGGACAAGAAATTGGTTTGCTACAGTTATGAGAGGAATGGTTAAAGTCGTTACACAGCGGAATATATCAATGCCGTCATAAACAGCACAACTATCATAACCGACGAACAAAGTACCAGGCAGCCGGCTTATGGAGAAATGGGTTCCGGTTAATATGCCTGAAGTTTAGGTATGTTGAAGATATCGACTTCCTGAACAATAGTGTCTATGGGCACAACTCAATCATATGGCCAGTTTTCAACATACAGGGTGATGAAGTTGAAAATGGCCATTTTTTAAAACGAATTAAAATGTAATTTTCTCAATATATTAAGGATTTTTTGCTGTAATAGTATTCAAAAATCACAAAAAAATTATTGATGCTGTGTATTCTACTTTACAGTGGGAATATGAAAATATTAATATTTGGTCTGAATTAACTTTAGTTGGACTTATTATAGGAAGGTATAAAAACATTTTATACAGGGTGAGTCAAAAAGTTGATTGACTCTGCAGGTTACTTTTAATACAATTTTATATATTTTGTAATACAAGTCAGTAGTCGAAATTGAACCATTTTCAAAAATATATAACTTATAAATTAAATACAGGGTGATTCAAAAGGTATATAAGGTAGAAAATTACGAAAATTGATTTTTTCTGCGAATCACCCTGTAATTTAATATTTCCTCCGTTAATTTCTCTAATTTTTTCTTATTGTCTTTGATTTGAGTTTGTTAGTTCCCTATAGAAGTTTTGCGAAGTTACTAAGATCAGTTTTTTTTATATTGACTTTGTGATGACACAATGTATACGCTTATACCTGAACTCATAAATATGTTTTTATCCGAAGACGCAAATATAATTATGTTTTTTATATTCATAATATTATCTGCAATCAATTCGAATAAGTTATTTATATAGGTGTAATGTATGTAAATTATAAGTAATAAATATATTAACAAACATATGAACCCGTTTCCTCACCACCATAGAGGTAAAGTTCCCGGCGCGTTTTTTTTTAAGTGGTGTCCCCAATAGGCCTAATCCACTTTAACCTGGGAAATGCAGGTCTCTTGTAATGTAATGAAAGATACATCTATATAAAAATACTTAAGGAACGAATATTCTAACAAAAATAACTACATGTGTAGAATTTAATCCAAGTCAAGAAAGAAGAAACAAACGAAATGAACGAAATGAACTAAAGTTAGGTAGGTACTGAAAATATTTAATTTTCTACAAGTTCTGGAACATGATCAATATTTTCTGGTAGCATCCTTTCAGCTGCATCAGTAGTTTCATTTAAAAGTTGAATAGATGGATATCTCATATTTTGTTCATATCTAGCATAACCCAAAAACCATAATACACTGGCCACATGAACACATGTTCCTAAAGTTCTAGCTCCCGACTTACAAGTACAATAATAGTGAAGTTCTAAAGGTTGATGATCGACATTTTCGTCAATCGTAAAATATATCCACAACATATACTTACATATCTTACGAAATCTGAAGTACACTCGGATTCGTATAATGCTCGGATCCTCCACCAATTCGTCCAATTGAAGAATATTAGTTTCTTTTCTTTGAAGTTTATCTTGAATATAACTTTTTGCCCAGTTTACAGGATAAATTCCAGTCAGCTGCTTTAAATAGTGTAAATCTAAACGGGGAAACTCATATTTGCATCTTCGAATATTTGGCTTACTAATAATATTAATACATTGTTTGTTTATATGTTACAATTATTTATATTTCCTTAAACAAATAACGTAAGAATGACATAAATCCTGAATGACTAAATAAAATAAAAATATATTTATGAGCTCAGGTATAAGCGTATACATTGTGACAGGCTTGACTTCACAAAGTCAATATAAAAAAACTGATCTTAGTAACTTCGCAAAACTTCTATAGGGAACTAACAAACTCAAATCAAAGACAATAAGAAAAAATTAGAGAAATTAACGGAGGAAATATTAAATTACAGGGTGATTCGCAGAAAAGATCAATTTTCGTAATTTTCTACCTTACATACCTTTTGAATCACCCTGTATTTTATTTATAAATTATATATTTTTGAAAATGTTTCAATGTCGACTACTGACTTGTATTACAAAATATATAAAATTGTATTAAAAGTAGCCTGCAGAGTCAATCAACTTTTTGACTCACCCTGTATAAAATGTTTTTATACCTTCTTATAATAAGTCCAACTAAAGGTAATTCAGATCAAATATTAATATTTTCATATTCCCACTGTAAAGTAGAATACACAGCATCAATAATTTTTTTTGGTGATTTTTGAATCACCCTGTATCAAATAATACTTTTTCTACACAAAGCAATATTATTTGATGTTATCAGAATACTATTACAGCAAAAAATCCTTATTATATTAAGAAAATTACATTTTAATGCGTTTTAAAAAATGGCCATTTTTCCGGTTCATCACCCTGTATGTTGAAAACTGGCCATAGGATTGAGTTGTGCCCATGGACACTATTGTTCAGGAAGTCGATATCTTCAACATACCAAAAATTCAAGCATATTAACCGGAACTCATTTCTCCATAAGCCGGCTGCCTGGTCCTTTCCCGATTTGAGAGCCCGCTCATAAACTAGTTTATTAACCTGAATAATTGACTGCCAGATCTTAGGATTCTTTTTCGTAGGAAATATTTTTAATATTTTACATTCTAATTCACCTGAAAATATTTCGGGGTTACCATTTAAAAGATGTTTTCTAAGCTCATGTTCTGGGTAATTCTCTGCCATACCTACCACTCGTAGTCGAGGATGCACGCCAGCAATTTCTTTAACATCATAGGAGTCAGCCATTTTTTCTTGAACCAGTTTTCTAATTTTTTCAGTATCAGAGTGATTACAGCAACCGATAAGAATTCCTCCTTCTTTAATAGTCTTAATTAACCTTTGCCAATTGAAGATTTTCAGCTGTTGGATCAATATGACGCAAAATATCAGTCTTTGTTTTTGATATTTCCTGATTAGTTTTTGGACGAATAATTATAGCTGGATTTGATTTATCTTTCAATATATCTGAATACTTTCGTTGTTCAGAAGTAGGCACGTTTGTGGCAGCCTTTACAACGTCACATTTCATAGATGTAACATGATTGTTTATTGTAGAAACAGCAGTATCTAGTTTAGTTTCGATAACTTTATGCAAACGATCTTTATTTATTACAATGCATGACTTTATACAATCTGAGCATTTCCAGGACAGCCCCGGTACATTCTGCAATATTTCTATTAAGTTGTCGATTTTTGTAATGCAGATAACATGAAACAAGTTTTAGCAGCCTTCACAAGTAATGCTAGGTCTCGTTCTGCTGATCGCTGGAAGACACGTTCCACAATTAACCATTATGAAAAAATCATATTAGAGAACTATTCAATCTTCATTAACGGCTTTTTGTTTGGGCACAGATAATTCACAAACTAAGCACTTCACAAATTTTCCAACAAAAAAAAAACAATTTACATCAGAGCGCGATGTGACGGCAAACCGATACCCAACACTTATTTATTTATTTAATTTAATTAATAGTCGGTATGTGTACGTACTACCGCATTATAACACAAAACAACTACTTACAGGGTTATATTCCTCACCTCTTCTCATAATAGAAGAAACATCTGGATGGTAGCAATTTTGACTCTAATGAGAGTCATCGCAGCTACGGAGATGTTTTTGTCTGACTTCTATTTTGAGGGGTTAAGAAAACTGGAAAAGCGTTGAGCTAAATGTTGAGCTTGTTGCTTGTTGAATAAAATTTATTTCATATTTCACTAACACGTTTATTTCTATGCAAAGCCAGAAACTTTTCAGCACATTAGCAATTATTATATTTTATTTTTAAAAATTTACTTCTAGTCCAGTAACTGAGGGTCCCAGGTAGTTCAATTTGTATGTCATCGCAGGTGTTTTTAAATGAGAAAATCCTTAACGCGTTCTTGGTACCGGAAGGGGCTGAAAATGGACCCCTAAACTCTGAAAAACGGGTTTCCCGCTAATATCTGGCTAAATATGCCAATTAGAGAATTTTTGTTCAGACAAAAAATGAAGATCAGCTCATTCTCTACAAAAATGATCCCTACCAATTTTTTCGCATTGCCAATATTTTTTGCAAAATCAGACTTCGAAAAATCCATAATTTTCATATTAAATAGATATGGTAGTTTTTTTCCGAATTTCCACTCGATGGGGTTGGAAATGCATTGATCTTCATCTTTTACGCCAATTGCAGATGGCGCCACCACCTTTACTCTTCTCGCTAAATTACGGAGTCCGTAAATGAAAATCTCGGAAATAATCGATTATTGGACAATTACTGGCGGATTTCACCTGATTTTTTTTCTGCAAAGTAGCGCTTGGGCTCTCTTAATTGTATTAGCGAATGTTTTGTGCAATTTGAGTTGCAAATTTACCAGAAAATTGCAAAAATTTATTTTTCTTTGTGCCAAGGTCTTGAATCCCGTTGTTTTGGCTAAAAGCAAATGACAACTTTTAGAGCGTGGTGAATATTTACCATACAACTATTCTAAACATTTTTCGCATTTTTGCGATTTTTTGCAAACTTTTTTCGGAATAATATGGGTGCAGGATTTCGGAAAAAAATACGCAAGTCTTTGAAAAATTACATTTATTGTTAAAGTACCAAAAACTGAACAACAGTTTACTTATTTATTTTATTATCATTCGGTAATCCATATGAACCATTGTCACTTCACTTCCCTTTACTTTTTAAACACTACCAATAACCGCGAATAATATTTTTGTTACTTTCAGATCATGTAACTGGTTAATAATGATAAATACCTCCAATTTTGGTCAACTCTGCCATAGTGTACATTTCTTCCCCAGTTTCCATAAGATAAGCAACAATTCTCTCAATCTGTGTTGAAATATCTGAGTCCTTGGGCCGTCCCTTCGGTTTAGCCTTACCAGAAGCTTTCTCAGACAATTGATAGAATGCCAGTCGACAGACTTCATGATATCTTGCACCAACAACTGTGAGGTCGATCCCAGAAATTATTTCTAGCGTCGCTTTATACTTTTTTATATCAATATGAGCTGTGATCTGATTCAGAAGTGTGGTCTTGAATTCTGTGTTCGAAACAAGTACGATGGTACGCTTCTTTACCAAACTGCTCTTTCTTTTCTCCTTTTCTATCGAAGCAGGTAACTGACAAAACAAACAATTGTTTTTGAAGTCAAAGCCACTATGGGAGTGCTTCTTTTGTCTCTTCGGGCTCGTTAAATGGTTGCCGTCTTGAAGAGTGCTTGTCAAACTCATTGTACGCGAACTTGCCTCGAGATTTAAGAATATAGCGGTCCCTACATTTGTTGTGCATTCGTACAGAGGATTGTTTCTGGAGAAATAGGTGGAAATTATCGCATCTCTCCTTGCTCACTCGAATCAAATTTTCTAAACCACGAGTAACATTTACACCGTCATACACAACACCCTCCTTACAAAGAAAGCATTCTGGAACGGAATCCGCTTCCATTTCAACAACATCAAGAGCTACCAAAAAATAGATGACCCAACCGTTAGAACAATAACACCAAGTTTTTAAAGTTGAGGCAAAATGAAACAAACCTTATTTTCTGCTTCCAACAAAAAAATCCATGAATATTCTTTCTTGTAGACAAGATTAAGTGGAAATTTCTCACTTTAAACACTTCTTCTCTTTTTTATAACTGAATTAATTTAATGAAAAATATTCATTTTATTTTAAATAAATAATTCAAAATAAATAATGAAAAAATATCATCAGTACATCAATAATCCGGTCAAACCAACGACTCCAAAACAGAGATTGTATACAAACACATGCAGACAACTATCGCCGCGTGGGTACACGAGGTTAGGTTATATACAATATCATGGATCTCAGAGGGGGAGCGTAAAAATGAAGTATATAATTGTAACAACCTTTTTAGAACCAAGAACGGATATGGGGATTGACTTATATCAATGGAAAGGTCAGAATACAAGCTTTACTTTGATCTAGTTATTAATCCTCAAAAAATAAAGGGCGGGGAACAAGAAATGGTTAAACAAAAAAAAATGCCGGTTTTCACTCGTGTGATCAATTTTCGTCATTTCTTGAAAATTATTAGACTCTATTAAAAATAAAAAAATATATTCGAAAAGTAGACCATCTATTCTTTAAAATGATGTGCATTGGAAATCAATATAACGGATCATAAGATTATAATTCGCGCTTGTTCCGAAGATTCTATGGAACTCCGAAATCAGCTAAAACATATAAATAAACAAATCAATTTTGTATTAAAACGCAAAAAAAGTATTACAAAAAAATTCCTGAGATCATTCAAGACCCCCCAAAGTCCCATTATAAAGGGAAAATTAGAATAATTAACTATTTTTAAAGAAAATATGAATAAATAATGAAGCAGTCTCTAAATATTGTTGAAAAAAACTTTGACCGCTTTTTTAAATATTTTTGGCAAATACGAACTGACTTCAGGTCACATGGAATTGTAGCTTCGGGTGTTCCCATTGCGATAAACTTTGAATCATCGAAAAATATCAATTTTTTTCCCAAGATATGGAACAATTCGTCCGCCCGCAGCAGCTGAAATGAGGGGACTTTTGAGTGCCATTATCTCGAAAACTATTGAATTTTCGAAGAAAATGATAAGGACCATTTTTGTAGATAATGAGCTGATCTTCATTTTTTGTGTAAACAAAAATTCTCTAATTGGCATATTCAGTCAGATATTAGCGGGAAACCCATTTTCCAGGTTTTAGGGGTCCATTTTCAGCCCCTTCCGGTACCAAGAACGCGTTAAGGATTTTCTCGTTTAAAAACACCTGTGATGACCTACAAATTGCGATATGTGGGAACTCATCAGCGAATTTTCTACAGGTTTGACTCTTCAGTTACTGGACTATTCGGATTTTTGGCACTTAGTAAGTTTTCGTATTCCACCACTGAGCCTTAAAACACGAGTGATATAATTAACCCACGTGCTTCACATTTCCGTCGATTGTCAACTGTAAAATGTCGAAGAAGAGACGAGTTTATGAGGCGACACATATTTCATTAAAAAGAGAATCGTTTATATTTTATTACAAGAAAATTGTTTGTTCTCATTTTAAATTGATTTATGTCCCTCTAACGTTGAGAAATAATTTTTGGGAAGTTTTGGGGAAAGATTTATTATAGCCAGATGAAAATATACCAAAACAAGTTAAAGAAAACATTTTAAATACACAGTGTGGTTCCTAATACGGACATGAAATAAAATATTTATCCTATATACGAATCTTAAAGGGAAAAACAGAATAATATACGGAAATTTAATTCACGCTTAGTTTTATTATACCTTATTCAATTCATTATAAAATAGAGGGTCCGCATTTAGAGTTCCCCATTGTTTTAAAGAGGGGATAGCGCTGTAAGTATGCCGAGCTGGTATATAAAAAATGTTAGTAATATTTGAAAGAGGGTAGTGTATAGTATTTGATTTGGGCAATCGAATAACTAATTTAAGATCAAAATTGTAATTTATTATCAAGAAATCCCAAATCGAAATCCGAATCAATATATCTGAAAAATAAGTAGCTGAAATAATTTTCATATCTGAAAACAAATCTCGAAAATCCCCCCAAAAATTATCAAGACCAAACCCCAACGATGAAAACAAATACTTGAAGATTTGAAAAAATCCTATATTCGGCGGAATTCGGACCCAGACATCATTATTCTGTACACAGATGCCTTACCTCTAACCAGTGGCGGCTTGTAGTAATTTAAAATGGGTGTTGACTTTTTCTAATAATTTTATCATTTGTATGTTCAGTTCAAAACTTTGTACAAATCGCTGTTTTTTATTATTAGGGGTGTGGATTCTTAAAATTCAAAGCAACCAATACGCGACCACATCACCTTGTATCTTCCATAGCCGTTGTTTATTAACTGGTTTGTTTTGTCAGAAACCATATACACTTTGCATGAAATAGAATTGTTAATTTCCTTTTTAAAAATGTATCACAACATGGTACTTTCTTTCAAATGAATGCTAAAATAAACAAATCTAAAAATTTCCTAATTAATTTTGCTGCTCTGCTCAATTTGGTCTAGTAGGCGACTTAAAAATATGTTTTATAACTGTCACATTATAGTTGGTTTAACATTAGATTTTATTTGTTCATTTTCAATTCATTAATTGTTTCTTTTTTGTTAAATTTAAGTATACAAATGAAGAAAATTAGATATGTTAGAAACTTACTTCGTAGCCCACAGAAACTCTATAGCGGCTGCGGAAATTTATGAAAATAAATTTCCTGAACGGCATCAACCAAACGCAAGACATTTTAGGGATCTAGTATTAAATTTGCTAAATTATACAAGTTTTGAAAAACCCAGAAATCATAAAAATGCTATTGAAAATGAGGAGAGAATTGATGCTGTATTACATTACACTAATAATAATCCCACAGCAGTAATGAAACGGATATCCCTAAGTCATCCGCTCATCGAATACTAGACGTTAATAAATATCTTCCATACAAACCTAGGATTGTACAAATGATTTTCCCCGAAGAGTAAGATTTTGTGAATGGTACATTCAACATATACGTAAAAATGCAAATTTTTCCATGAACATATTATGGACTGACGAAACTCGATTTACCAATTGCGGAGTTTTTAACAGGCATAATACCCATCAGGCTATAGAAAACCCAAAACTCACCTCACAAAGAAGATTCCAAACAAAATTTGGATTTAATGTTTGGTTAGGCAAATATAAAATGAGATTTACGTTTAAATATGAAATTATTGAAAATCTTACTTTTAGGAAATCGATTAATTGTACCAATAATTTTTAATTTCAATTTAAATGCAGCACGCTATCTTCAGCTCTTACAAGAACAAATAATGCCCGCTGTGGGGACATCTGTGGGGAACTTGGATCAAATTTGGTATATGCACGATGGTTGTCCAGCTCATAATGCCGCCGTCGTAAAGAATTATTTGGAAGAAAACTTCCCCAATAGATTAATTGCGAATAATGGCGACATTTTGTGGCCTGCTAGATCCCCTGATATAAATCCCCTTGACTTCTTCTTATGGGGACACATTAAAAACGAAACTTACTCATTTGAAGCTCCCGAAGAAGTTTTAGAAGAAAGAGTCCGAAACGCTATATGCGCGGTGAAAGAAACACATTATTAAGGGCAATAAATTCTCTGCAAAATCGTTGTCAAATGTGTTGTGATCAAAATGGTGGCCACATAGAACAATTTCTTTAAATTAGACAGTTCATATCTAAAGCTTGTATTGTAAATTGTCCCAAAAATTTTCGCAAAATCCTTTTTTTTTATATGGTTTTTATAAAGTTCAACTTAAACCGACTATAATTTGACAGTTCTAAAACATATTGTTGGCTCGCCTACTAGACCAAATTGAGCAGAGCAGCAAAATTAATTAGGACATTTTCAGATTTTGTTTATTTCAGCATTCATTTGAAAGAAAGTACCATGTTGTAACACATTTTTAAAAAGGGAATTAACAATTCTATTTAATGCAATAAAAATCCAATATGTCGTCCATAAGAAAAAACAAAGTTGCAGTCAATATCTTGAAAACGAAAGGAGATATTCTTATGTTTTATTTTTTATTGTAAAGACCTTAAAAAAGTGCCCATAGAATGTCTAGACCAAAATACTGTTTGTTCTCAAATAATCGAGATACGGAGGACTGTCAAAACCCACCATTTTGGTTTTTCGCGATTTATTCAAAAACCATCGTACAATATTTAATACTATTTAGGTACTTTTTAAGTATTAAATTAAGATCGACCAAAAAAAAAGCCAAAAAAAAAAACGTTTCTAGTAGGGAAGCCCCTTTAATTTTTAATTTATTTTAATTTTTATTATTTGTTGTTATAGCGGCAATAGAAATATACATGTTGTAAAAATTTCAACTGTCTACCCGCTGACAGACAGAACGGACGGACAGCAGAGGCTTAGTAATAGGGTCTCATTGGTTACCCTTGGTACGGAACTCTAAAAACGAGTCATAGGATTGATTTGTGTCCATGAACACTATTGTTCAGGATTTCAGGAAGTGAACAAATAATACAACATACCTACCAAAAATTTAAAAAAATTGCACACAAGACAAAAATATCAGAAAATATTTTAAATTAATTAGAAAAAGACCTTACTAATTAACATTTGATAGCCAATCTACGAACGTAATAATCCAGCAGCAGTAAAAGTAGTTCGATGGTGCTAAATCAGGGTATGGCAATAAT